CATTATTTACATTATTCGGACTCGTCTTCATCGCCATATTTATTACAACGTTTCGGCCGTTGTACACTCCGGGTTTCTTCAGGTGATTGGAATGTCGAATTGAACCCTTTATTTTGCTCACTGGGGTAGACTGTTCTAGTTCCACGTGCCATGTTTAATGGATGTCAGTTATCTCCTGTTAATTTTCCCTCTGAAAGTTCTCCACTGCCTTAATCGGATATTGAACTCACACTCTTTGGGCCTGTCACTGGATCTAACTAACGGCTTTATCCCCTGTGACATGTGTCCCCGAGGACAAAATCCGTTCATACACACGAATAACCTTCTGTGCATTGATGTTAAATTTCTCTAATCCTTTAACATCAATACACGAAAGGTTATTCGTGAGTATGAACTGATTTTTTAAAAATTAGCAGGCATAATGCCTGTAACTTATTCAATCAGACATGCCTAATATATATATATATATATATATATATATATATATATATATATATATATATATATTATAATTTTATCATATAGAGAATTCTCACCCGTCGAAGTGCAGTTGAAATGAATTGAAACGAAGTTGCATCTTTGTAGTGAGTGAAATTGTTTTGTCTATATGACAAAATTATAATAAGTAAATAATTATCGCTCTACTATCGGTATCGAGCCCTCTTTTGAATATATATATTACTTTCATCACATCGGACACGTATATATATATATATATATATATATATATATATATATATGTGTGTGTGTGTGTGTGTGTGTGTGTGTGTGTTTCATTAAATAATATAGACAAGTGTTGTCTACTTATACGTAAATTCTTTTCATAACATCTGATAAGCTTAATAACATTATCATTAAACGAAGAAAGAAAATCCCAATATTGATCCATATTTTTTAATCCAATCTAAGCTTTCGGCTTACATAAGCCATTATCAAAGATGTCAATTACTGTACAATATATTAAGCAATATACGGACAAGACAGTGATGATAGTCTGTTATTGTTTACATGGATGGTTTCTAAGCAATGATAAACACGTGCATATAAGACGCTAGAAGCGAAAATCGCACCGAAGCTCATGACGTCACACATGACCACGCGAGTGTGAATTCGAGAAGTATTAAGTATGGGAAGCCGTTGGTATAAACCAATGACTTCTGTTACCAATTATAGACACTTAAGATTATTTGTAGAGATTCCATAGTTGATTATATTTAGGTTAGGTTTCAACTGTTTGATGTATAATGCTTCAAGGATTTTTAGTTTTTGTTTATTGATTCATATATATATATATATATATATATATATATATATATATATATATATATATATATATATGGATAGGTCAATAATTATCTATACTGTAAGATAGACGATTGTTCTTAGCGAATTAAATCATAGATTCTTAACATGGTAATCGTAAATTCAATCCCTGGTCTGGTCAGTGTGTACTTGGACTATAAGTAACTGAGCAGTACTAAAATAAGAACTAGACGTGATATCCCTAGACATAGAAAATGGAATGAGAACAGTCTACCTCCGTAGATTAAATAAAGTGCTAGTTCTGAATTCCCTATAGGACAGCTTCTTCCCAAGAACTATTGCTTTTTAGAACTGACTCCGGGCATTTTTCCCTGATCGCTATAATTTTTGAACCTCTTCACGTATGGGGCTAACCATCATCGTTCCGATATAACCTCATCCTGCAGTGTTTTTGTCTTCCCTTAGGCTCATACAGCATTGTAAAGAACGTCTCTACTTTCCATTTACGATTTATTTGATCTTGTTCTGGCTTATGGCCGCATCTTGCTGAAGCATCGATTGCCGTATGATCACTGAAGTTAAGCAACGTCGAGCCAGGTCAGCACCTAGACGGGTGACTACTTTTGAATCTCTTGTGTTTTAATCTTGTATGTGTGGATGGTGTAATGGATGATAGATATATTCAATTACGCGCCAATACCCTTGAGAAAGATACTGATCATTTTACTATAGGAATGAACTGAAAACAATTTTACTATAGAAATACATTGGAAATCATTTTACTATAGAATTACATTGAAAATCATTTTACTATATGAATGCACTGGAAACATTTTACTATAGGAATACATTGAAAATCATTTTACTATAGGAATGCATTCAAAATCATTTTACTATAGAATTACATTGAATATCATTTTACAATAGGAATACATTGGAAATCATTTTACTATAAATTACATTGAAACTCATTTTACTATAGAAATGCACTGGAAATCAATTTACTATAGGAATGCATTCAAAATCATTTTACTACAGAATTACATTGGATATCATTTTATTATAGGAATATATTGGAAATCATTTTACTGTAGAATTACATTGGGAATCATTTTACTACAGGAATATATTGGACGTGATTTTCCTATAGGAATGCATTGGAAATAGTTTTACTTTAGAATTATATTGATCACTTCGCATCTATGACGCATAGGCGGTTATCCCAGCGTTACACCAAGCTACCTCACATATACGGTCTCCCTAAGATTCATAAAGACGATTGTTAGCTGCCAAGACTCTTTGTGCCACTCTCTGAGTCACTTCGTTGTAGATATAATTGATCCATTGATCGGAAGGTCTCCTTCATATGTCCGTAACACCTCCCCCTTCGTGGAAATAATCAAAAATCCTATCCAACCTTATGGTGAGATTGGACTTGGTGAGTTTGTTCACCGAGATACCGACGGAGGAGGCACTGTCAGTAGTCAGAGACAGATTGGCCTCTGACTCATCCCTAGAAGAACGGACTAGTATTCCAATAGATAATCTGATGAAGATGTTGACTTTCTGTACACAAACAACACACTTCGGAATGGGATCACACATATATCGACAGGATGAAGGCTTAGTAATGGGCTCGCCATTATCACCAGCAATAGCGAATATATACATGGAATACTTTGATGAAATGGCATTAGAGTCTATATCTCTAAAGCCAACTCTATGGTTAAGGTACGTCGATGACACCTTCATACTCTTGCCACACCAGGAAGATGTTCAGCTTGCACTGGACCATGTAAACTCAATAAGACCTTCAATACAGTTCGTGATGAAGAAAGAGGGTAACAACACACTCCCATTCCTGGATGTGCTAACATCTCGAACAGAGCATGGGTTCATGACTTTCGTATACCGGAAAACGACATTCACCGGACAATACCTCAATTTCAACTCCCACCATCCATACAGCGTAAAGAAAGGGATCGTCTGTTGCTTACAACACCGAGCAAAAGTCATAAGTGGCGATCCAGAGACGTGAGATAAAGAATTGGTCAGTATAAGTAGTACCCTACAATTTAACAACTAACCTGGGTACATGGCAGCAGCCCCCCAAAACTGGGATAGGCGGGTACAAGAGTAGGAAAACAACACACAGAAAACAGTCTGCCTACCTTATGTGAAGGGGTTATCAGAGAAAATACGAAGGATCTGTGGCCCATATAACATCAGGACAACCTTCAAAGGCTTGACGACACTTCGCAGATATCTCTCCCGAGTAAGACCCCCCATAGAGGAGAAAATGACTAAAGACTGTGTGTACGCTATCCCGTGCAGCTGCAGAAAGAAATATAAAGGGGAAACAAGCTGCCCCCTAAAGGTAAGGCTTCAAGAATACCAGAAAGCTGTAACACGAGGGGAAGTGGAAAAATCGGGGGTGGCTGACCACATATGGAGAGAGAAAGGAGATCACCGCTCTCTGTGGGATCAGGTTGAGATCATAGACAAATAACACTATTGAAAAATTCGTAAACTTAAGAAATCAGCACATATGCTAAGCGAGAAAAATCTCCTGATCCGACAAAGCATAGAAGTGAATATAATATGAGAACCAGTAATAAGGACTGCCAGAGAAAAGCGATAATAACAACAGAAATTGCAATATGAGCTCTGGTAAAAAACAATGCAAAGATAGCAGCAAAAATTGCAATATGAGCACTGGTAAAAAATGGTTGCTGATGACATTAGGGTTATAATACCCAGAAATTAATACACAGATCTCCTCAAGGACACATGGCACAGTTAGATCCAGTGACAGGACCTAAAGGGTGTGAGTTCAATACCCGGTTAAGTCAGTGGAGAACTTTCAGAGGGAAAATAAACAGGAGATAACTGATAACTGACATTCATTAAACATGGCAGGTGGAACTAGAAGAGTCTACTTCAGTGAGCGAAATAAAGGGTTCAGTTCGACATTCCAACCTGAAGAAGGCCGGAGCGTACTACGGCCGAAACGTTGTAATAAATATAGTCCGAATAATGTAAATAATGTGCATTGGAAATAATTTTACTATAAGAATGTATTGGATTTTACTTTATACATGTGGTCCCGTTGCTTTATTCAACATCGCTCATGCTGATTTCGCTTCAGCCTTTAATATTCCTGGTATTTCCTTATGATTGTATATTGCAGGTTTTTACTTTTACCGTAGACGTTTCTCCGATATATACGTTCCATCTTTGAAGCACTTTTTAAAAATAAACAAAGTTTATTAAAACTATGCTCCCAACACAATGCTACTTCCGACTTGAAACGCATCTGTTTACCTTCCATTCTACGTCATTAATAACGGTCGCAACGAGCGCGTTGTGTATTGGTTAACAAGCAAAAGCAAACGCTTTTAACACAACGTTGAATACTGACTTGCAGTTGTAAAAGAAAGACACATCTACACATACAAAAAACAAAAAAACAAAAAAAAACGATACCCTGTTCATTGGCAAATGTTGTTGGTGGCACCAGGGGTGACAGTTCCGCCTTAGCCACCGAAACTGTGTTACCTCCCCTGGTTGGCGTCTGAAGAAGATTTCTCTATTATCAGCGTCCTCCTCTTTTGATGCCATGCATCTTGTTGATGTGCAAGTCTTTAGAATTGTTTACTTACGTCTGCTTATCTACATCATCTTTGATGCAAATTTTTTCTTGTATTGGGTGAGCATTAGTATAAAAAAGTCTTCCTATGAATTTTATATCCTCCTTCTATCTCTCCTTCTTCTTCTCCTCCCCTTTTTTTCTTCTGTTCCCTTCTTCATTGTTTTCCTTCTATCCTTCGTCTTTTCATGAATTCCTTCCGTCCGCCTTGTTTTTCCTTTCTATAATTCCTGCTCTCACTTCTCTCCCCCTTTACTCCTCTCATCAGTTTCACATTCGCTTCCTTCTTTCTCTTTTTCTTCCTCTCTATCTTTTACAGCAGTGTTTCTCGACCGGTCCGCCCGGGCGCACAAATGCGCCCTGAAATACAGCCAGGTGTGGCCGGAGTAATTTATTAATTATTTTGACATCTAAATAAAAATCTTGATTTTTGAAAAAGCTAAAGACACCATGTACGTGACTTCTATTCCTAACAAGTCTTTGTCATTTGATATTTTAAACTGGATGTTAAATTGCTTAATATTTAAGGAGAGAATTATCATCGGATTTAAATCAGTCATCCTCGATTTCTCTAGAAAGAAAAATAGAAGATTCTTCATAAATCCATTTAAATGAAAACGCTACCGCTTAAATATAAAATGTAATGTCTTACAAATTAAATACTTATTTCAGGAGACTTCTTTATTATTCCGATGTCTAATTGCGTATTGGATAACAGAATCAAATGACTCCCTACTGCACGTGGCGGACTTGGGTGCACAATTGCGATGAAGTGATTACTTGGCGAAGGGATAGCTGGTCTTTGATCCGGAGACATGTCCCAACACTTTGAATTGACAAGCAAGAACCATAACAGAAACTTTATGAGATAGGACAATTTTAATATAACTAAATTGTTCAGTATAATTTTTCTTTAAAGTAAATAAATTTCTTATTTGGTGCCACACTAATTGGGTAATGATGTATTTGTGCCATGCATCTTGTCTATATACAATTTATAAAGCTTCAGTAAATTATAAATGTTATAAAGCTGTCCTATAAGGCTTTCAATGAACACCGGAATTAAATTCCAACGCTAAGATTTTAAATCGAAACTTAGTCTTTTAAACTCATCTCCTCAAAAACGGAAGCAAATATTTGTGTCATTAATTATCATGTCAAACGGTATCATTCAAATTGATTTTGTGTACGACGTAGCATTATAAAACTCTCTCTGAGAACAAAGAATGTTTATCATTCGTTTTTCTTTCCGCTATTCTGTTCCGTTCCTGAAATGCGCTGTTATATCAGCCATATAATAATGCTCATAATGGGGGATGTAAATGGAAGAGTAAACTTTTCTTACAATTTCTCCTATTATAAAAATAACGTCTTAATATCAAATACTTATTTCAGGAGGCCTCCTTATTATTTTCCTATTTTCAAATTTCATGACTAATTTTTCCCTATTAAAATTTAAAGTGAACTTTAGAGTTTTAGGTTTTCGACACGTGGGCCATGAATTTTAGATAAAACATTGAGAAACACTGCGCTAACTAGATTGGCAGTTGTAAATGTAGAAAATGTTTAATTTGATCATTTTCTTAGTGTTTACAACACTAAGGCCCTGCAATAAATTGTGTGGGGACATCAAGCTAGTTTTATGCATTGATTAATAGCTGGTTGTATGTCTTTTCTTTTAAATGCCGTTATAAATGATATCAGGCATGGGATTTGAACCCGTTCCTCTGATAGTGCAACAAATAATTACCAATTTCTGTCTTTGAAGATTAAAAGTGTCAAAGAGGTGATGCCGGTGCCTAATTGCGTTTTCACTGAAACATACTTAAATATACAATGTAATGTCTTAAAAATAAATGCTTATTTCAGGAGACGTCTTTATTATTTTTAAATTTCATGACTGATTTTACTTTATTAAAATTTAAAGTCCTTATCAAAATTTTAGTTATTCTACAAGTGCACCCTGAATTAAAAATGGTTTTAAAGTATCTCCAATTTCTCATTATTATGTGGGGATCTTCCTTCATTTTCTTTCTTTGCTCTCCAGTACCATTCACATCTGTCATATTTTCCCACTGTTAAAGTTCCATCTTTTCTCTTCCTTCCTCTTCCTTTCACTTTTATTTCTACGGCTTACGGCCATATCACGTTGCAACACCAGTGACATCCTGGGAATACCAGGTACAGTAAGTTTGGATGCGCGTTGGTGTAATGGATAATATCTCAGAATTGTTACTCAGAGTGTTGAGGTCATATTCCCGTTGGGTTCATTATATTCACTTACTCGCAAATACAATTGGAAAAGATATGAATACACGTTTTATCCCCCAGGTATGGATTAATTAGAAAGACACCAAATTATTATTATTTCAGTGTCTTTTGTTGTTGTTTTTTTAACTGAAATATATTTTCTGGCTTTAAATTCCCTGCAAAAGGTTGATAAACCGTTAAAAATGAATCAATCAATCGAAGCTCTCCTCTTTTTCTTCTTTTTTCCTTCTCTCATTTTTCTAAAGTCTTGCTATTTTCTGATACTTATGTGGATCTTCCTTCCTATTTTTCTATGTTTCGCTTTACATCTGCTATCTTTCCTTCTGCTACTATTCTTTCTTCTGTTTTCCTCTTCCCTTCTCCTCTTCCCTTCTCCTCTTCCCTTCTTCTCTTCCCTTCTTCTCTTCCCTTATCCTCTTCCCTTCTCCTCTTCCCGTCTTCTTTTCCCTTCTCCTCTTCCTTCTCCTCTTCCCTTCTCCTCTTCCTTACTCCTCTTCCTTACGCCTCTTCCTTACTTCTCTTCCCTTCTCCTATTCCCTTCTCCTCTTCCTTACTCCTCGTCCCTTCTCCTCTTCCTTCCACCTCTTCCCTTCTCCTATTCCTTACTCCTCTTCCCTTCTCCTCTTCCCCCTTTCCTCTTCCTTACGCCTCTTCCTTACTTCTCTTCCCTTCTCCTATTCCCTTCTCCTCTTCCTTACTCCTCGTCCCTTCTCCTCTTCCTTCCACCTCTTCCCTTCTCCTATTCCTTACTCCTCTTCCCTTCTCCTCTTCCTTACTCCTCTTCCTTACGCCTCTTCCTTACTTCTCTTCCCTTCTCCTATTCCCTTCTCCTCTTCCTTACTCCTCGTCCCTTCTCCTCTTCCTTACTCCTCTTCCTTACGCCTCTTCCTTACTCCTCTTCCCTTCTCCTATTCCCTTCTCCCAATTTCTAGGTCTTTCTTTTCTAACTGCTCCTTCGTTATTTTATTCTCTTCTCTTCTTCCACCCCCCCCCACCTCCATGACACTTCTTCTCCTTCAATTTTTTCTTTTTTTTTTAAATGTTTCCTTCTTCATTTTCTTTCGTTTTCGTTCCTCCCTATTTTTATCACTTTCTTTGTCTCTATTCAACGTTCTTCTGTTCCATTTTCTTTCTTTAAACATCCGACTTTATTTTTTTACTCTCACTCTTTCTCTCTCTCACACTCTTTCTCTCTCTGTTCCTGTCTGTCTCTCTCTCTCGCTCACTGTTTCGTTCAATTATTTTTTTTCAAACATTCTTTTTATTTTTAAAACTTTTTTTTTTAAAATTTATCTTTTGATCTGTATTTATCGATCTTGTTTTCAAGGCTTTTTGCTTTCATGTGCTGTCGATTTTTTTAATTTAGATAAAATAAATTTGATTTTAGAACCCATATTGAAATCGGAGAACAAATTTTGAATTATCTTCTAAGGAGTTGTTATATCTGACAGCTGGACTCAAAAGTGATTATTATTAGGAATAATAATAATAATAATAATAATAATAATAATAATAAAGTAAACTGGAAATCGAAGTAATAATAACAACAACATGGAGAGAATGATTGACTAAGGGACACTTATAAGAAGAACAAGAATCAATAATTCTAGCACTTCAGAACAGAACAAGTTTAATGGAGCAAAAAATTACGTTACTGCGAAGAACTCACTTAATCTAAACTGGGGTCGTTCATTGATAATGGAATATACAATTATTTTTATGCATTACTAATGATCGCATGAATATATATGAATAAATGTTATTTTTGAAATTTAAAAGATGAGTTACAATCATATATGCACTCACTGGTCACTTTCTTTTGCATACTCTGCTAGTGTTGGGTTGGACGCCATTTTGATTTTAGGACGACGTCATACACTTTTGCCAAGAATAAAACATTTTTTAAAAACAAACTTTTGAATTCCGATTTCATATGGTTAAAATCTCAAAATTCTTCTAGATGGGTGGGCTGCAGCATACGGATCTTCCTAACAACCCCATCTCAAACGGAGTATCAACTTTTTGCAGGTTTTTTTTAAGCTAGAATAAATTTCAGAGTGTAAGAATCTTTTGCAGATAATAATGATTTACCGATATAAAATTAGACTAATTAACCTGTAGTTAGGGGAAGGATGTGGATTCATTTCCCAACGATATTTGTGCGTAAGTGAATATAAAGAATCCGACTTATATTAGAACCCTGCTCTCCTATTAACAATTCCGAGCCACTATCCATTACACCACCCGCACATCCAAACTCACAGCAACTGGTATTGACAGGTGGTCACCCATCTAGGTACTGACGAGGTTCTACGTGACTTAACCATGGTGATCGAACGGAAACCGGTGTTTCAAAATGATATGACCGTAAGCTTCAGGTGGCGGTGCAGGCGACTTTAACACAGAAAACTTAATATCGTGTTCCATGAGCAACTCTGCGACTATTTTTGATTCGCGACACAGTTTGCCGTCCAGGGGAGAGATGCACCGTATTCAGTGATTGAGACATGCTGCGACATTTAAAAAGTCCCCAAGCAATACCAAATACCAAAAAAATATTCCCGCACCATAATTCGACCAACAAAATACGAAACCGCTGATAAAATGGAGAATCGATATTTTCATATTCATGCCAGATTCAGGTCCTTCTATCCGAGGTTCACATCTAAAATCGAGACAAATCTGTCGAGCCAACATTTTTTTTTTGTCTTTTATTATCCAAATTTTGTCACTTTAGTGAATTGTAGATTCAGGTTTTTGTTCTTCTCTGGCAACAGAGCGCCACCTGGTGTAACTTTTTGCTGATGTAAGCCATCTGCTTCAAAGTTTGGCGTATTGTGCTTTCTGAGATGTTCTGTATATCTTCGCTGTAAATAGGGGTCATTTGAGCGATTGTTGCTTTTCTTTCAGATTGAACTAGTCTGGAAAACTCTTCTAAACTGTCACGACAGCAAGGAGTTTTACTAGAAAGGACGTTCGCCAACATAATTCCTGCTCGAGGTATTTTCTTTTGTTCAGTTTATGTTCATACTCTGTAAACCCTAGAGAAAGGTAGGTAAAAAATAGCCGAGCTGGAGTTTTTCTTTTAAATGCTCACATATGTCCGTCTGATATCAACAACCATGCCGAGTTCAAAATTACTTAATGTTTTTATTTCCTTTTCTATCCTCATGCATGGAATGAAATTTAGCATATAATCATGGCCATCTTTAAATCCATGCAATTGCTGCCACAACACTGGACAATTAGAAATTGGAACTAGTTTATTTGCTCAAGTGAACATTATCAATCGGAGAGTGATTTTGTATATATAGACCAACGTTAACAGATCACGACAGCTATTAGAGAGATGTGATTAAATATACTTTTATGTTTAGAAAAAATATTCAGTATTCGTATTGTTTAGCTAATAAGCATTATAACAGCACTACATAGTGTAAAAGGAATTTTCGACAATATACGTATTTTTGACGTATTTATGCTTCTTTTTTATTCTCGTATATGTAGTTATGAATAATATTATATATTAATTGTTATTTTTTTAATTAATAACTATTTGTGCTCGATTGTTGACGCTAATAGCTATCTGCTGATGTGTTAAAATTATGGAATAATGCAATAATAAAAAATGTAATTTCATCTCCCTGATAGATATCACAATTTGTAAATGTATATATATGAAAAGGAAAAATTCGAAAAAATATAAGCAGTATATTGTTTATACCCAGTGAAAAGTTGATGGAGAGATCAATAAATAAATGCCATAAATAACACCATCTGATGTAGTGTTCGATTTATTTGCTTAACTATATCTCTGAATGTCTTGGGGGTGGTAGTAAAGATCTTAGTATTTTAGATGTACCTTATAAAAAAGGTCGGATTCATATTTGATCTATAATTGATCCTAATTCACATGCAGAGGCACATACATTCCCCATATATATATATATATATATATATATATATATATATGTGTGTGTGTGTGTGTGTGTGTAAGACAAACACTGACGATCGCTAAAGCGTGAAAGCCAGGTCACAAACTCACATCGATCCAACCAAATATATATATATATATATATATATATATATATATATATATATATATATATATATATATATATTATATATTAAGTCTATTAGCGAAGAGCTTTCGCCATTAATCGCATTAATATTGCTAATTAATTCAATGTATGATTATCTCTTTATAATATATATAATAATATATGTAATATTTATAAAATATGTGCTGCCTAATATAATACGTTTATAAAAAACAATTCATCCGCAGTACGAAATTCCGGAGAAAAAACAACTACTAAGATCTAAGATATATCACTCTGTTAATTGAACTATGTACTTAGTTCATGTCACGTTAACTGGAAAACACTTACAACAAAAGAATTCGTGGATTTACCAAATTATAAAATTCATATAAAAATTGCTACTTGAAATACTTAAAATTTAGCGTTGCGACTTGCACGTTCCAATATTATATAACCGTTAATAAATAACACATTCTTAAAAAAAAACATCTTTCGATCTACAACACTTTTATTTCGTCTTTAAGTTTTGATTTTAAAGGAAAAAAATACGGCCTGATGATGAAAACATGAAGTCCTTGAAAGTACTTGCTGCTCTAAAAATACACCAGATCCATCTGACAACATTTTTGTACATAAGGATCGCATCATTCAGTGGATTGTTAGTAGTTTAATGCTTATATTAAGTCTATTAACGAAGAGATTTCGCCATTACTCGCATTGATATTGCTAATTGATTCAATGTATGATTATCTCTTTATAATATATATATATATATATATATATATATATATATATATATATATATATATTTCGATAAACGTGCAGTCAATTTACAAATTCATGAATTATTCACACAAAAACAAATGCAAAGGTTAATGATTTAATTGGCGAGAAATCCATCGTCGCAAACAATTCAAATAATATACAAAAACCTCCGAACCTGTTATGAATGAAAAGATCCTTGGAATTTTTTACTGGTAAATTTTCTGTCAAAGTGTCATGAACTATATTGTTCAATAGTAAAAATAAGAACTAATGCAGCAGAAATTTATAGAAACAAGGATCTTTTCATTCATAACAGGTTCGGAGGTTTTTGTATATTATTTGAATTGTTTGCGACGATGGATTTCTCGCCAATTAAATCATTAACCTTTTGCATTTGTTTTTTGTGTGAATAATTCATATATATATATATATATATATATATATATATATATATATATATATATATATAGTGTATTTTAGGAAAAATGAAAACATATCAAAATCAGTTTTACAATTGCAGTCGTGTTTCGATGTGTATCAACGCATCTCATCAGGGATTGTAAATTTACAATAGCCTGATGAGATGCGTTGATATGCATCGAAACACGGTTGCAGTTGTGTAGTGATTTTGATATGTTTTACGATGTAAAATCCTAAAATAAAGAATATTACTCTACTTTGTCTTGAACCATGTTTTAAATTAAATATTACGGACGTTGGAATTGTACTCTATTCTTTCTCATCTTACCTGGACATGGTGGTGGGAAATTGACTGATGTCGATATGCCAAGCTAAGAACCGATAAAATGTTAGACAATTGTTTGTATTTTGTCGAGAATCTCGAGATAAACAGCAAGAGCACTAGATCAGATTTGGTAGCAGTATATAATTGACGGACGAAGCAATCGACCCTGTCCATAGATATATTCATCATTCCTTTTTCGCCTCTTTAGGACTGAGTTTTCCAGTGTTGTTTCACTATAGCACACTTATAAAAGGATACGCAGATCCAGTGACAGGACCCAAAGAGTGTGATTTCAAAAAATGAGGACAATAATCCGAATAATGTAAATAGTGAACTCTATGAGATAAAAAAGTACGTTTTAATACTGGCAATACATTTTTAGAAAAAATATTATTATCAACAATACATTTTTGGAAATAAAATATTACCAGCAATACATTTTTGGGAAAAAAATTATTACCAGCAATACATATTTGGAAAAAACATTTTATTAGTAATAAAAATCTTGTCGGCATTCAATAGCCTATTGTGGTTGATATGGCGTATGTGACGTCGTCCCCTGGTCGCAGCGCCAACTATGACGTTCTATCCTGATCTACCTTGGCACCAGTTGTGACGTCCCCAAACAGCACCAATTGTGACGTCCTCGCCGCGGCGCCTGCTGTTCGCTCCTCGCTGCTCCGTTCGAGTGTCGCTGCTCCAAACGTGACGTCCGCCTGTCGCGTCAGTCGTGTTGTCTCGTCCTGTGACGACCAACTGGCTTGGTATCGGTCGCGGCACCCAAATGTGACGTTCTAACCTTTTGGTGATTCGGGTGGGAATCTGGTTAGATTTGATATCAGCCTCGTCGTTCCCAACTCGCTTCCAACGCCTGGTTACCAAGGTAACTGCATTGATCTCCAGTCTGCCCACCCACGTTGTGAATTGATCTTAGGCAGTAGTCGGGGCCGTAATGCAAACTGAGTTCAACGGGGGTGATACCACACAAATATGCATAAAAAGAAAATAAAATGAAAACTCAAAAAGTTCAAAGTATCAAAGAAAAAGGTAACAATCTTTATGTATAGTTGTTCGATACATAGGACTGCATCTATCTCCCGACCCGTTCTGTGGATTGTGACACGTTAGGCAAGTTTTAACGCTTCAAGTTGTTTGCTCTCTAAGAAATTGGTGTTTCGGTGTGTCTTTGGACGAAAGTCGAAAAAAACTTATTTCGGTGGTCTGGATCTAAGTCGCTCTTCAAAATAATTGTTCTTGGGTTGAAGAGGAGTCCGGAATTTGCGTGAATCTTGGTCAGCTACCTGCGAGGCGTCTTCAACTGGAGACTGACTCTGGGAACTGAATTCCTGGAACTCCTGGAACTCAACTCTGGAACTCAACTGATATCTGCTCGTTGGGCTTCGCTTTTATGGACGCCGACCAAAACCGGGGTGGGTCTGTCGGCGTCGGGGTTTCCTCGATAATTCTAAATACATATCCACCTCTCTGGTTAGGAATTTTCACTCTTTTCCATTTTTGGGAACCTTTCCTTGCTCCCACCTTCTCACCATACTTCAGAGGGGCGTGAACTGCCCTCCCCACTTCTTCGTAGCAGCTTCTCATACCTACACTCTGGATGAGGCGGCGACAGCCTCGTTCGTGCGTCACGTGATCACCACTCGACCAATGATGTCTTAGTCGTGCGTGGACGAATCCGCGGCTTTGTTTCAGGAAGAAAAAAAAATATCTTGTTTAACTAAAAAAAAATTATCCCTTCTTTTCTCTTTCTTCCTTTTAATCGCCGTTATCAGTTCCCTAGCCGCAAACGGGACAATATAA